TTGCCAAGTTTTTAAAAACTAAAACCATAAACTATGCAGGCGTATGTGTTTTTTTTTTTTTAATTGTGGAGAAATTGCGTATCCTACTTTGAAGAATTAAAGCATAAAATTAAAGTTTACTTAAAATTTACTCTGTGTATTATTACTAGTATCCACATAAGGAAATGACATGAAAACTGCTAAAACCAGTCATTTTTTGTTGAGTATAACATCCTATAAAATTCAGTTTTATGTTGGTTTTGATCAAAACTTGAAAGAGCCGCTGCAAAGAGACTAAAGAGCCACATGCAGCTCCAGAGCCGCAGGTTGTAGACACCTGCTTCGGAGGATTACTGGTCCCGTCCCACTGGTAAGAGGCCCCGGGTTAGACCCAGAACTCTCTGGACGGATTATCACTCCTCTGGTCTGAGAACACCTGAGGGCCCCCAGGAGGGGCTGGAGGAGGAGGTCTGGGTTTGTCTCCTGGACCTGACCTCAGATCAGAGGTAGAAGATGGAGAGACATGTGATAAACTTAAATCTGTTTCAGATTGTTTCATCGTGATTCAACATCATAAATTCAGCAGCATGTTCAGCAGCATGATGTTAATTCTTTAAAACTCTTTGAAGCCAGAAAACCTTCAAATCTTCATCGTTCAACAAAACAATAAATCACAACCGGACCTTTTTAATTTCCATTCAACCAGATGATCGCCGAGTCACCGTCATTATTTTCCTGTTCCTTCTTCTACCACGTCCTGGCTGTAACTACTTCTACAAACCTTCAGCTTTTTAAACATTATATAAACGTTCGGCTCATTCAGAACTTTACAGCTAGAACTGCCAGTTTTTGTAACGTTCATGTTTGTTTGAATTATTTTAATTTTATTTACAGTTTTTCCAACTGAAATTTTAAGTCCTTGAAAAACTTGCTGCTCTTTGAAATCTATTTCACTGTATGTCCAATATTTTCACGTATTATTCTACATTTAGCTGCTGCTTTTACTGTACCTAAGGTTTAGCTGCTATTAAGTTTTAGCTTGCGTTAAGGGGGTCTAGGTGAGTGGTTCCAGGCTGCTGTAAGCGGTGACACAAGTTCTCCTGGTTTTAGCTAGTGTTGTTCTGACCAGACCTTTGGTTGTCTGTGACCTCAGACCTTAAAGGTAGAGCTAGAGTTGAGCAGAACCACCCTGTCATCATCCATCCATCCATCCATCCATCCATCCATCCATCTTCTACCACTTATCCGTAGTTGAGTCGTGGAGGCAACAGGCCCAGTAAAAAAAAAAATCACGTCTCTCCAGTTTTAGCTTCTTTCCATTGGCTCCCTGTCAAGTCCAGAATTTAATTCAAAATCTTACTTATAACCTACAAAGCTCTCAACAACCTAGCTCCATCGTATATTACAGATCTTATTGTTCCATATTTTCCTAGCAGACCATGTTGTTCTCAGACTGCAGGCTTCCTCATGGTTCCTATGTTTCCAAAAGCAGAATGGGATGAAGATCTTTCAGTTATCAGGTTCCACTTTTGTGGAACCAACTTCCAGTTTCTGTCTGTGAGGCTGACACGTTGTTCAGTTTTAAGACTTTTTATGTATTTATTTATTTTTTTATCCTCAGATAAATAGTGTTAAATTATTTTTATATATATATATGAATGTTTCTGTTCAGTGCCCTGAGATGACTTCTGTTTGGACTTGGTGCCATATAAATAAAATGAATTGGAGCATCTTTGGTCACAATAATCTTAGTCATCCTTTTTCTGCCTAAATGCTGAGTCATGGTCCGCGTCGTGACGCCATCATATGTCACAGATTTATTGACTTTAAACAGAAATTAAATGTATTTTCTTAAGTGTCGGATTTAAAAGTTAAAAAATGACGTCACTTAAAAATGTTTCATATATGTATATATAAAAAAACAAACAACTAAAACCGCCACGTGCAGGAAGGGGGCGTGTCGGGGGCTCAGACCTGTTTGGACATGTTCCCCTTCAGACCCTCAGTCAGTCGGAACCATCATCAGAACCATCATCAGAACCTGAAGAACGGCCTCCATAGAAAAACAGGAAGCTGCAGAACCACTCGGTGAGTGATTTTGTTTGTTTGTTTGTTTGTTTGTTTGTTTGTATGAGTTCAGGAAGATGAGCGGGTCGAAGGCGCCCCTCTGGTCTGGTCTGGGGTTTCTGGTCTCCTGGATGTAAAGTGATGGTTTTGAAATAAAACTAAGGGTCAGAGAAGAGGACATGACTTCAGACCTTGTTCCGTTTTAAATTATTTTTGTTTTTGTTTATTGTTGTCCTGATGTGTTTCTGTCGGTGTGTTTGTAGAAGGCCTATTTTGGAAGACGAACTTTGACCTTTGCTGTCTGATGGACCTGTTCTGATCGTATTTTGTGCAGATTTTCTTTAGTCTCTCGTGTTTTGATTCTTGCTTTGAGTTAGTTTTTGTTTGTTTGTTTATTTGTTTGTTGCTGCAACAAAACAAAACGTTTGATCAAACTAGAAACCTAAAAATCACCACGTGTCCACCTTCAGAACCTGCTGTTGCTCACGGGTCAAGAATTACTTTGATAGTCTAGTTCGCACAGCCACGTCTGAGGCTAACTTTCTGCACTGCGTTTCTGTCTGTCTCATTAAGAGTGCTGTCACACAGGTGTGTGGTTACCATGGTGACCCTGACAAACCACTGGCAGCAGCTTCGATCGTGGTTCTCTTTACTGTTCTTGTACGGTCTCTACTCTGAAGTGTTGGGCATTTTGTCAGAGGAGGTTGTTCCAACAGGAAGTTCTGTTGGACCCAGGAGCGGAGCGAGTTCTGCTCATCAGCACCTTCCAGCATCTCTGCAGGACTTTCCTCATGTTTTACTTCTTATTTCACATCGTATCCAAGCAGCTAAAGTGTTCACGAGTTATCGCCGCTCCGGCTGGGGACTATTTCCTGAAATGCAATGTACATGTATGAGGTTGTGAGCTGTGATGCTGATGGCAAACAAACAAACAAACAAACAAACAAACAAACAAACAAACAAACAAGAGCCTAAAGACAGCACAAACAGCTAAACTATATGTGGCACCAGTATGGTCCAATCAGTCCTTTTTATTGTTGGATTTATTATTCGGGGCCCTCACCAGATGTTTCCTGGCCCAAACACAAAGAGGGGTCTAGTTGTTTTAAAGAACCAGATGTTGCTCAGCAGAACTCAAGCATCAGAACCAGCACTTGGTTTCTACAGGTAACTGTGAACTGTGTGGTTCTGAGTCCGCTCTGCTCTGAGGAACAGAATGGAGACATTCAGCAGGTCAGGATCTCCATCAGACGGCGTCCCTGGGTGCAGATTAGTCATAATCTGGGATTTTATTGGTTCTTCCATCCTGCAGGAAGTGCAGATTTCTTTTATTTTGTAAAATGCAACACACTGAATCTTCTCAGGTGTTAGTTAAAGAGTACTGGCTGTTCAGTCAGTTCCATAACTGGTGCTGTGCAACAGCTGGAGACCCGGTCCAGACCTGAAAGGGCCAGCAGGTGCCAGTGTTGTAGCAGAACAACCAACAGGCTAAAGTTTCTCACCTCATTCCCAAAAGAAAAAGAAAAGAAGAAACAACTTCTCTGCTGAATGAATGTTGGGCGCTGAACTTCTGAAAGCTGAAACTGAGACGGTCAAACAAGCTGAACACAAGCTAAAACTGTCAAAAGTGCAGCTAACAGTGAAACCACTAAAATGTTTTTCTCTCTAAGGGGAAAAAAAAAATAAAAAATCCCTATTTGTTTCAATGACACAAAACTTAGATGCTGTTAAATATTAATAATAATTGTTATAAATGTTGTAAAAATGTTCTGAACGAGCCGAACGTTTCGATGCGTGACTGGCTAAAAAAAGCCCAAAGAAAGGAGAAGTTGGTGTTGAAATACGTTGCATGACGGCCGTCAGCGTTCAGAGAACCTGCTTCCTTCTAGGCCTTTCAGACGGTTCTGTCCTTCCTGCTGGTTCTGGGTTTTAACGCTCCGAACCGTTTTTGTTCCCTTTATCAGAAACACCGAGCTGGAGTCAAACATTCGTCTGTTTGCAGACTTTTGTGGGATCAGTTTTTGTACCGTGTTACGTAGAGATCCGAGTCTGGTTCTGGTGCTTGTCGTCAGTGGAGTTTGGACCGTCAGCGTGTGATTGGTTGTCCAAGCCTCAGTGTGTGTTTGTGTGTAAGAAGAGACAATGGAAACTTCTCGCAGCTCTGTTTCATCTCACGTACCTCTGCGTTGTTGTGGCTCCAGTTGTCAGAGCAATGGATTCGTTTTATCAAAGTCCAGTTATCGTTGCCCGCTGGTGAAAGGCGGGCGATGATGTTTTTGCCTGTGTTTGTTTGTCTGTCAGAAAAATATCTCATGAACTACAGGACAGATTTGACTGAAAAGCAGAAAAGAATCATGAATCTTCTATATTCGGTTAACATTTGGAGTCTGAAAGACGGCCTCTGCAGCTAACAGAGCTTCAAAAGCACAAAACTAGTTATATTTGTATAATTATAGGTATATTTCAGTGAACTTTGCAGGCATTGAGCTAAAATCCTGAGGAATTGTAGCTGATAGTTGTTCAGTGGTTGAACTCCATCTTTTCCCAACACTAAGCCATGTGCTGACAGGCGGCGGGCGATAAGCATCCCTGCATGAGGGCTTCAGTGTGCTCTGAGTTAAAGCTTGTGGTGGTTCTGCTCAGTAGCAGTCTGACTGGTCCGGTAACTTTAGGAAACAATGAGCAGTCATGGAGAAAGTGGAAGGCAAAGAGTCGGACCAGAAAAACTGGTTCTGCTGTTTTTGTCATCGTTACAAAAGCGAAGGCACCTGTTTTTCTTAGTTCTGCTCCCATTCTCCGGGTTACAGCTCTATAAATTCCACCTTATCCACCCGGCACACCTTTTCTCCTGGAACTCTGCTCCGTAAGCAGCTCTGATCTACCAGGGATTTTTTTTTATTTATATATACTTCAACTTGTTGAATAGCACCACCCTGCCCTCTGAGAGGACTGTTCAAGGTTCAGGAAGATAAGGAGAGGTGAGCGGCTGACGCAGAGCTTGTGTTGTGTTACCAAAGGATCATATTACAGTCGACAGCAGGTTGGCTGAAACCAGAGCCGCGTTCGGATCGCTGTGACTTCGAACCAGGAACTGGGACACTGAAAGGAGTTTTAAAGAAGCAGAAAATCTGCGAGGTCTGCTTCCTGTTGCTGTGAGTCGAGTGTTACTATGGGTAAGGAGAAACAACACTCCCTGCTGCTGCTTCTCCTCTGCTTGTCGGGTCTCGTTCACCGTTGTGCTGCCTTGGTGTTTTGGACGGCCATGGTGGAGACCAGCTACACTGACGGCAACAACGACACTGTGGATAAGTACTGCGAGTGTGGGCTGTACGGCCGTAACTCTCCTCTGGACAAAGCCTCAGGCGTCATAGTGCTTCCAAAAGGAGATCCTAAAGGCTGCGGTCCGGAGGCAAACTACAACCGGAACTCCAGCTCCCCGCCATGGATCGCCCTTGTTAAACGAGGCAACTGCACCTTCAGCGAGAAGATCAACGCCGCCATGAGCCAAGGAGCAGCCGCCGTGGTGGTGTACAATGTGGACGGCAGCGGAAACAGCACCACGCAGATGGCACACTCGGATGCAGGTGACATTGTGGCTATTATGATCGGCAACATTCAGGGAATGGAGATCGCCTGGTTGGTGAAAAACGGGACAGACGTCCAGATGATCATTGAGGTGGGCAGCCCTCACGGACCGTGGATGGACACCTACTGGCTGTACTTCCTGTCCATTGCCTTCTTCATCGTGACTGCCGCCTCCATCGCCTATTTCGTGTTCATCTCTGCGAACCGCCTGTACAGCCTGGGCAGGCACAGGCGTGCCGAGAAGAAGCTGAAATCTGAGGCCAAGAAAGCGATCGGGCGCCTCCAGGTGCGCACGTTAAAACGAGGGGACGAGGTCACCACGTCTGACGCTCTGTGCGCCGTGTGCATCGAGTCCTACAAAGTAGGGGACGTTGTGACAGTCCTGACGTGTGAGCACATCTTCCACAAAGCCTGCATCGAGCCCTGGCTGCTGGACCGGAGAACCTGCCCCATGTGTAAGTGCGACATCCTGAAGGCTCTGGGGGTCGAGGAGGACACCAAAGACTTCTCCACGCCGTCTCCACCAGAGGTCACTGTGATCACAGTGACTGGAGGAGACACCATGTATGAGGTCCCGCTGAACGTCCCAGCCAGCACCGACCCAGAGCATCAGCATCGCTATGACAACAGGGCCTTCGAGGCCGACTCGGAGGCTGCGAGAGGATGAACAAAACAACACGCTGCTTCTTTTACACAAAGGAATCGCACAATCAAGCTCCCACAATGATCCCACAACACAAACATGCTGCAAAGTAAAACTTTAAATCTGTCACTTTAAACTAATTTTATCTTGTATAAAGTGTGTTCTGAGCTACCTTTGAGTGAATTTCCTACAGCTTTAAAACCAACGAGTTCTGGTGCGACACGTGTCACATTTCTGTTTTGCATAGTCAGTGCAGCAGACGCTCTTTATGAGGATTTGAATACCTGTTTGTTTACTGGGGCCAAATCTCGTCACCAAACTTTTTGTTGTTCTCAGACAAAATCAGCTACTTCAGTTTAAACAAAGTGAAATCTCTCGCCCGTCTAATTCAGATTACTTACAGGTTTGAAACTGGAGCGGACTTTTTATTGTCAGGCTTTACTCACAGACACACCCAGAGGAACAGGATGACACACTGTGCGTCACCAAGAACACCCAAGATCGCCTGTAGGAACAGAGTTTTGATGAAGAAACAAAGAAACAGAGACACGTGGCTGTAAAATGAACACCGTAGGAAAAGTAGAACTGGACAAACTGGTTCTCCAGGCCCTATATGTTAGATTGTTTTTAATTTATAATGTTATTTTTGTTAATATTGAACCAATGCGTAACATCGTTTTAATCTTCTTTGTCCAAAAAGCTGGTATTTAGGCTTGATTTCCTGTTGGTGAGCATGTCTTCCTGGATTTTATTGTAAATTTTAGAGGAATGAAGTTCATTTCTGTCTTTGCTCTACCTCTGAGTCGACTTCTTGAAACATGTTTTAAGATCTTTGAAAGATAAAGTTGGTCTTTGTGACAAAATTGGATAATTGGTTGATTTCTTTGGAAATCAGAGGGGACTGGCTGATAATGGTACTTTGTCTTCTTCCTATTTGCTGTTTTTAAAGATTTAAAATGTTTTTAAATTGAATTGTTAAAAACAAATTTTCACTTCTGTATTAAATCACATTGATGCTTTTTAGAACTGAATAAATCCCTCAAAATGAGGTTATCTCTTCATCTTGACTGAGAATCTGTTTCTGTGGGACGAGGAAGTATTTTATGTCAATCAACGAAGGCTGTGAGGTGAAAGGAACAGCTGTGGAAGGGTTGTGAGCAGTTAATATCTTACCTGTTGTAGATGACCTCAGCTTGTAGAATTTCAGAATATTTCTGACCAGATTAAAAAGCTTAAAGTCTAAGACTTTAAGGATCAAGACTTCCTTGGACTGGAGTTAATTTAACATGCAAAAATATTCTGTATAATCCTGCAGGAAGTGCCCCCAGGCTGCACAGGAAGTGCTACAACACTCGTGCAGCTCACGACAGAGAATCACGCAACTTATGTTTTTAACTCCATGTTGTGTTCAGAGCTTCCTCTGTCAGTTAACTGTGAGAACGTGAGATTCCTGTTGAAAAGCTGGAAATGTTCTCCTAAAATCAGCTCACTGCTGGTGAAGACTCTGTCATCAGTCGTCCATGTCATGATGATCAAGCCAAAAAAATGTTTTAAAAACAACTGGACTAATATTCTAAGGCTGAAAAGTCATTTTACGGATGTCGTTGTTTTGTATGGGATGCTGTACAAAAATATATATATATATAAAAAAAGAATGGAAATAAAAATCAGCAACTAGAAGATAAATATTTGTTCCAGGTGCATCATCAGACCAGGCCTTGTGGGTGGTTCGCTGAGAAGACGATGACTCTTAGTTCGGGCTCTATGATTTCACGATGTGGAAAACATGACTGAAATCATAGAATTGGATGTTAAAATGGAATTTACTATAAAACCTGGGATGTCACAGCATTTGTTTATATGTGTATTTTTCTTGCAGCATTTGTTTAGATTTAATGTTTCCATTGAATTAAGAGTATTTTGACTGCCGAGGGTTCCTGTAGCCTCCTATCTGCAGCTGCTTGTCATGTGGAGAGCAAAACAACAAAACTACAAAAACCAGAGGTGTGTTAGCTTGTCACTTTAGCTAAGTAAATCTAATCTTGGCTTTTCACTTTAGCTAACTTAAGCTAATGTCAACTTAGCTTTTCACTTTAGTTATCTCAAGCTACATTCTGTATATCATTTGAGCTAACTAAAGCGAATGCCAACTTATCACTTTAGTTTTTTCTTTTGGCTTTTCCCTCTTAAGGGGTCGCCACAGCGAGTCATCCTCCTCTGTCTCACTCTTGTCCTCTGCATCCTCTGTCCTCATTCCGACTACCTCCATGTCCTCTCTAACTGCATCCATATAGCTCCTCTTCGTCTTTGTCCTGGCAGCTGCATTTCTAACATCCTTCTACCAATATACCCACTGTCCCTTCTCTTGATATGTCCAAACTATCTCAGTCTGGTCTCTAACTTTATCTCCCAGTTGTTCAACCTGTGCTGTAACTCTGATGCTCTCATTCCTAATCTTATCCATCCTTGTCACTCTTAAGGAGAACCTCAACATCTTCATTTCTGTCACTTCCAGTTCTTTCTCCTGTCTTTTTGACAATGTCACTGTCTCCAGACTACACGCATAGCTGGTCTTACAACTGTCTTGTAAACTTTTTCTTTGACCTTTTTGTCACAGTTCACTCCTGAAACTTTTCTCTGTCCACTCCATCCTGCCCGGGCTCTCATTTTCACCTCTTTACCACATTGTCCTGGACAGTAGACTCAAAGTACTTGAAGTCCTGCAACTTTGTGACCTCTGCTTCTTGTAGCCTCACTGTTCCACCGGGCTCCCTCTCATTCACACATATGGACTCTGTCTTACTATGACTAACTTTCATTCCTCCTCTTTCAAGTGCATACCTCCACCTCTTAAGCTTTCTTCCACCTGTTCCCTGTTGTCATCACAGATCACAATGTCAGCTGGAAATATCATAGTCCACGGTGATTCCTGTCTTGACTTATTCTGTTAGCTGGTCAATCGTCAGAGCAAACAAGTAGGGGCTCAGAACCGATCCTTGATGCAATCCCATCTCCAGTTTGAAACTGTCACTATTACAGCTCATCTTGTCACTGTCCTGCTGTCCTCATACATGTCCTGTACCAGTCTAACATACTTCTTTGCCACTCCAGATTTCCTCATGCAATACCACACCTCCTCCCTTGGCACTCTGTCATATGCTTTTTCTAAACCCTTGTTCTTAAAAATGGGCACTAGCACACTTCTCCATTTGTCAATCATTTTCTTACCCTCAAATATACCATTAATATTTGAGTCAAAAACCTCACTGCTATCTCACCAAGACATTTCCAAACGTACACTTGTATGTCATCAGATCCTACTGCCTTCCTCTTCTTCATTCTTTTCAGAACTTTCTGGACTTCACCCTCAATAATCTTTCCCATTTCCTGGTCCACAGTTTCTATGACCTCTACTCTTCTTTCTCTTTCATTCTCTTCATTTATTAGCTCCTCAGAGTACTCCTTCCATCTTCCCGTCTCACACTCCTCACTTGTTAGAACATTCGGATTAAAGAAAGGAATGGTAATCAGAATCAAAATAAACTTTATTGGCATTGCACCGAGATACGAGAATATGTACGTACAGTCGTCCGAAAGATGGGCGGAGCACACAAAGCTGCGGCTATAAATAGCGTGGCCTTCTTATTCTTATTCAGAATAATGTTTTGCTTAGATGAGAAAATGGAAGAACATGAGGAGAGACGGTATAAAAAAAAGATCTCTCATACCGTGTCCTAGACGGGGCACGATTTGAGGCATCAACAAAACCTACCACAGCAAAGCAACATAAATAGACGTAATACATGTACATATAGGCCGGTGAAAACATTGAATTTTTAAGGGAAAGTCGTAGCATAGTCCAGAAACTGACTAACTTCGACCAATTATCACTTTAACTAACGTCAGCCTATCATTTGAGCCAACTAAGGTAATACCAGCATACCCCTTTAGCTAACTCAAACTGTTAGCTTTTCACTTTAGCTAACTCAAGCTAATGTTTATTTATCTTTTCAGCCAAGATGAGCTGGCATTAGCTTCGCACTTAAGAAACTCATCTGCATGAAAAATGGCAGAAACAAGAGATCTGTAGCTGAATGTGTGGAATCAAATATTCTCCTATAAAGTTGAAAGCGTTGACTGTTATAGGTAAAGCTTTGCCACAAAATAATTACTGCTAGTTTCAGTCAAGCTGATAACTGATTAGCAAGACTTTAGTGGAAAATAATGGGGCATTGTCAACAAAACAACCCAGCAGCATCCCTCTTTTAATAACTTTTTTCATAAACACTGGTGTTTGATAAATACAGTAAATGACCTACAAGCAGATTTTTAATCACCTTCACAAAGCATTGATTGATCTGTTTAACTGAAACATATTTTGCTGTATTTTTATTAAAATTAATAAAGAACTGTATATTTTAATGTTTGACAGAGTAAGATAGAGGAAGATTACTCACTGTGGTGACCCCTGAAAAGGAAACAACTGAAAGAAAAAGATGATGAAACAATGAATCTATTTTAACATTTAATTGTTGAAATTTTATAAAAACCATTGTATGGTTACATCACAAAGCAATGAGCTTACTAATCCTATCACAAAGCATTGAATTCAGAAAAAGAAAGAAAACACACAAACACACACGTATGCTTGCTGTTTGCTAACGCTGGGCTAAGCATGTAGCTGCACAGAAAACACTGCTAATTGTTGCCTTTCAGCTAGCTGCTGCTGCTTTAGCTGCTGGTGTTGCTCATAAAACACAGGATCCAACGTAAATACAACTGGCAGAAATTCACTTGAATCTTGGCACCGTAGCTGTTAGCTCGTCAGCTATGCCAGAAATAAACTCAGGCCTTTTAAAGAACTATCCACATCAGGTAAGATATTAATTATTTATAATCTTTCCACAGAACTGCACTGCAGAAGATCTGAATTAACCCTCTGAAGTTGTTCTTTTTTACTTTGTGGTGTTTATAAAGACTGTTGGTTAAAAAGTACAGCTCAGGCTTACGCGAAAGCACAACGTGGATAATCATCAGGCCTCAGGAGGAGGCGGGCCTGACCGAGCAGGTACAGGTATGCAGCTGGAGCACAGGTACAGGTATGCAGCTGGAGCACAGGTACAGGTATGCAGCTGGAGCACAGGTACAGGTATGCAGCTGCAGCAGAGGAATGTTCGGCCTATCGTTCATAAATGGGCCCAATCACAGCGAGGTCTGAGGTGGATTGTTTATTTTTATTGAAGGTTGGAGGACTTTGGACCTTATGTTGTCCAATCTATTTTTCTTGAACCAGATAAAATGAATCTCCACATTTAGCTGTTGCACACTGGGTGTTAGCAAAACTAGCACTCAGGCAAAGGGATGCATATCGCCCGCCACCCTCCAGGCTGTTTGCATACTTCTTAGTATTTCCAAGGTTTTAAGTAAACACGTTGTGTGATTGGTTAACCGCCAGAGTACTTGTTGGGGATGACTCTCAGACACTCCCACTCCAAACCTTAGCTCAATATCTGTAGAATTCACTGACAGCCATTTTTATGTTTACTAATGTCAGTTAGCTGTGGCAGCCTTCTTGAATCAGGTCGACTCCAAAAGTTAATCAGATGTAGAAGCGCATCCAGTTACTACTTCCTGAAAGTTTCATTAAAACCTGTCCACTGGTTCATGAGATATTTTGCTAACAGACAGACAAGCAAGCAGGCACAGGCTGATTTGATTGTCTGCCATTCATAGTTGATGTTTAAAAACTAAAAACCTGGCATGGACTCAGTTAGAGGACCGTTAGAAGGTTCTAAAGATGTTGCAGTGTTCTGCCTCTGCGTTCCTCACTGGTTTTCTACTCCTGCAGGTTACTTCCTCGTGGAGGAGGTGAAAGGTTTTTAGAGGAGGAAGTTTGCCAGTGCTGTGGTCTAAGGCCCGG